TTTTTTTTTTCTTTTTTAACAAACATTTGATAAGCTGGTTCTGGTCTGTCCGCATATCTGATAAACTGGTCCTGGTCTGTCTGCATCTCATAACTCTCTTCACATGAACTGGTCCTGGTTTAACACAAGGCCACCCAAGCTAAAAGCCTAAAACCCAAACAGTGTCCTTCGGGACATCTGTTAAAATTGGAACCATACAGAGAAGGGTAAATTAGCAACTGGCCACTGCGCAAGGATGACACGCATAAACCGGAAAAAAAAAAAAAAAAAAAAAAAAAAAAAACATACAGTGTCACGTCCTATGTTCCAGATCCCAGCCAGGTCACCTCGATGACTCGTCCTGCGTCCCGTCTGAAATAAGCCAGCTGGTACCGGAATTTTTATTTATTTATTTATTTTTTCGAAAGGGAAACGGCATTTAGATATCATCATTGAACTGATCATCCCCAGGCAATTCAGAACGATTTAATTCTTTCTTTCTTTTCTTTTCTTTTCTTTTCTTTTTCTTTTTTTTTTCTTTTTTTTCATCTGAAGGTATCTGGATTTGAATTTCGAGGGCTCTGTATTTCAAAAGTTCAGTCCCAGAAGCTGAAACAAGGTGGACTGATAAGTTTATTCTTATGGGGTCTGTGGCCCGAACTACACGCCAGGGGGGCCCTATGAGTTATGCAGAAGAAACAATCAGAGGGGCCATCCTGTGGACTCTGTGGACATTGAGAAATGCAGCGGTGAGAAGGCGAGAACGATTAACAGCTCCTATGATTAGAGCGGAAGTTAAATATGGCATCAAACAGGCGATCCTTGCAGATTGGGAATATAAAGTTCAAAAGAAAGGCTATTCTGCTAAATCACTGAGATTGTTTGCTACTCACTGGGGGGCCTTCTCGGGCCTGTTTTCCATGGTTCGTGATGACGGAGGACGACCACAAATGCGATTTACTGCTTTCTTTGTATGAACTTCTCTCTCCTGCCTGACTGTTGATTGTAAATTGACTGTATATTCACTGTTGGTTCACTACCTCATTCTTCCTCATAAATAGTCGATAGTTGGTCGGTTTTGCGCTTGTCAGTGATTGATTGGTGGTTAACAGATAGTTAGCTGATAGTTTAGTTGGTCGAAAGACAGCAGATAGTTAGGTGATAGTTCGACGATAGTTAGCTGATAGATAGCAGATGGGTAGTTGAAAAGGAAGAACAGTATTAGCTGGGATAATCCATAAGCAAGATACAAGAGCCGGAAAATACTTGTTGCTGCGGTTGGGGATAAGCCTGGCCGGAGAGCCCGGCTCATCCCCTCGGGCCGGAGCTAATGATGTAAGGGACGCTGGGCCCGGTTCCCAGCTTACAATGAAAGTTCTTCGTTTCAAAAAAAAAAAAAAAAAAAAAACTAGTCCTGGTCTG